TTTTTGGGTCTTAGCAGAAAACAATTTGAATAATTATGAAGATATTAAAGAGACCAAACTTCAGAAATAACGCTGAATCCTTAGGGATACTTCTATTTGCATGTGTAATTATGAAGATGAAAAATAAATTTGACAAGTATATTACAGTCTACTGTTATTTCCAAAACAAAAGCAAGAGTACTGGAAATTAGTATGCACAGGTATTTCTGTGCATTTGAGGATTTAGGTTGTCTTTAAAGAATTCTGAAATCCCTGCTTTCATAAAAAAGGAAAGATTTCATCTTTTGCATTTGTAATAAGAATCTCTGAATGATAATCAAAGTCATTTTATTAGGACTTGATTCCCAGGAAGAAAGAACTGAGAAAATGGTGACTTTTATCCATTACATTTCAGTCTTTGTTATGCCCAGTAAACAGAATTTAAAAGAATCTTAAAACAGAATTTAAACAGAATTTTGTTGATGCCCAATAAAAGGCAACATTTGCCTTTATCCACTGACTGAAATTGCAGCATACCACACTTCAGATCAGCACTGCAAAGATATGCACTGACACTCTGCAAATGTTGTGATAGGATGAAAAAGGTCTATGTGGGGACTTGTACTTTTTAGCTGCCTCCTACACCACTGACAATTTATTCATCAGAAACAATTTAGCAATATGGTTGTAGGTGCAGAAATAATGTATTTGTGTGGGTATTACTTTGTGTGTCAGTGTCACTGTCAAAATAAATACTAGTGTTTAGCAACACTGTGGTTTAATGTTCTATTCCTTGAAAAAGCCTTCCTAAAAGCAAGGTTGGCTACTTTAAATGTTGAGATGTTAATGCTCTATCTAGTTTGAGTCCTGGTACAGGAACAGAAAGATGGCTTACTTTATAGACTATCGATTGAAATGGGTTTTCATGATTATCCGGTGCGTGCATAGGCACCCTCCTCCTGAGAGGATTTTATACGAGTCAGAAAAATGCTGGTGAGCACTTACAGTCTCCATTCTCATGGGATCATTTGGCTACGTGTTCTTCTGTTTAGTCTTAGAACACTCCAGGAAAAAAATAGTATTAGACAGAATTTGGTTTTGCAGCTGTGTCCGTAACTGTCCTTATGTCACAGGCTGAACCTGAAGGATGTTGAACATCAGCAGTTCCTGCTGATACCAGCCTCTGTTGGACTACAAAGAAGGCTTTGTCCTTCTTTACAGTGTCAAAAAAAAAAAAACAAAAAAACCCCAAAAAGTCATTTGTGCAGTTTAATTATATGTTTTCCTAGCTATTGTATTTGGATCTTTACTATATTGCTTCTCCAAATATATTCCGTAAAAGACTACTGGACATCAGAACCTGAAGTAGACAGCAGCTCACAGGTTTAGGCCCTGGGAGTATCAGGTTTTCATGTAAGAGGAAAAGAGGACCTAGATAAAATCGCTTTAACAATATTTATTGTGCTCAGGTTTGCAAGACTTCTGTTGACCTTTTCTATTTCAATACCTACATGCAAGCATTGGGCTACTTAAAGGTACAAATTTTCAACCAGATTGTTTTAATTAAATTTCAAAGTAGAAGGCAACTTCATTCTCATATAATATTCTATTCCTTCAGCATATTTGATTTTCACAGATGTTTAAATGGATTTAAAAGGAAAATACATTGTGATTCCTCCAATATATTTAATTGGATTAATCCTTCAATTTTTTTTATGAATGAAACTGGTTAAGTTAGTGAGAATGCAATGTTACATCTTTGAGGACCGAGGTCTGGAACGTCTCCAATAGCAAGAACAGTATTTAATTGCCTTAACCTGTGACTGAATGGGTGATTGCAGCACTCTGCATGGCAATTAATTAATGTGCATACCCTGCATAAATCATATTCATTATGCACTGTCATTATTTAATGATATTCTACTTATTCTCGATGTGTTAAGAGTTTTAAGACAGGGATATATATAATCTTCCCTACATTTTCCTCTTCTTTCATTAACAAAGCTAATGTAAAATTCTAATCACAGTCAGATGAGAACATTCTCAATACTCTTCCACCAATTATTGAAGGAATGAAAAATGTACATTGAACACCCAGACTCCATGAGTTGTACACAATGATTTAAACAATGAGGTAAAACATTGCACTTTAAGATTGTTAAAGGCACAAAAATATGAAGGAGCAAAGATCAGCTCCTAATTACAACAGAAGTCTTTGTAGTTAAATTTCCTCTGCACTTGCAAAAATCTTAAAGATGATTTACAATTGGGAAGATCAGGCAAGTAATCCATGTCTCTCCATGCTGCATTATACGTCTGTATATTTCATTAGTATTCTGTTGAGTCTAGTTATGGAACTATAACTGCTTGTATAAAATTTGCACTGAAGTTGTAAAAGAACTAGTTGTAATTTTAAGTGAACAAAACCACTGTAGGGTGCTAGTGGCATATACTAAACATGAGAAGAATGCTTGGAGCTCTCATTTTGATCCATGATGATCAGAACTTTAAATAAAGACAAGTACCTTTTCGTACCCTTTGAACCCTGAATCCATAGTCTCAAGCTACTGCTGAAAATCAGTAACTGAATAGGGAGTGCCCAGTGAGAACTAGCTCCACACTGCATTATAGCAGGTGTTAAAATAGATTTAAATGGAATTGCTGAATAGACTGTGCTTGAGATGTAAGGAAATTTAGGAGGGCTATGCATTTTCCTGAAGGGAAGACAGAAGGCTCATTTCCTTACCCCGAAGCAATAAGAGACACAAGTTCGGATGTTTCATTCCAGCACTTTACCATGTAGGCACCTGGGTTCACCTGGGAATGAGTTTGAGGCTTAATGATAGCCACGTAAGAGTCACTTTTGGTAGCATATTATTACTTAAGGGTGAAATAGGAACGGACAAAAAGTTTAGAAAGCAATCTTAATTCTTAAAGGTAGCTGAAGTGTAACATGGGAGAGGTTCAGACAAGTTCCTGTTCGATACAATGTCAGCATACACATCTTCTTCAGGTACTGGAGAATAATTGACTTGCTGGAGCTATTAATCTGGAAGGACACAAAGTATCGCTGGACAGCTTTAATTCTGTCTTTTTGGCACAGAATTCCTGAGAAATACTACCTGTCAAAGTTAGTTATTTCTTATATAGGTGTGATTATCTTACACACCATACATTTGAGATGCAGGGATCACTGTGCGATTCCTAAGTGTTTCTGCCACTAAAGAGTGGAACGCCTTGCCTAGATGTTTGCAACCACCAGTACCAGGAAGAAAATTACAGGCAAAGCATGCCTTTCACAATCCTGACATTTTTCTTGCAGAATGAGTGACTTCAAATATATTAAAGACCTTTTCACCTTTCCTCCAGAGCCTCCATTCCCAGTTCTTTACTCTTTCCAACACAACAATCTATTAGCATTTCCACATGTTTTAGCCCTTAAAAGAGATGTTCTTTTATTCTGGTGCCCCCATTCAACTTTTTTCAAATCTGCAAGAATCAGAAAGGCAGCCGAGTGTGGGAGGACCATGCTTTCTGGGTAGCACATGGCACATCGGTGACGTGAGGCCCCCCCCAGCTAAGCTCCGCAGGCCTGGCTCTAGCTTGTCATCCTAACTCAGTTGCTATCCCCTACAGATAATACTTAAGGCTCGCTCTTTTGGGAGTAGAGCTTAAATCTTCACTGAAAGCCTGAGAGTTAACGGATGTCACGCAACCAGCAGCATTCAAGCTAGGAGGTTAAGACGCTCTCAGTTTCAAGGAGGAAGGGGGTGCTAAATCCTAAGAACCATTGGCCAGTTTCAGAATTAGATCACACATCATAGCCTGCATCTTCAGGAGGGGTAACTCTTTTCTCTGTCAAAGGTCCTTAAGTTAAAGTTATGCTCTCCCACCCCGGCTGCATACTCCCATCTGCATGCAGCAGCTTCTGCCCCCTTGTTTGTGCCGCTATGCACTATGCACTAGGCGCAAGGCAATAAAAGGGATCACTTGAACTAACTGAGGTTGAAACGACCTATGAGTCTTTAATGAAACAAGGAAGTTTTGAGAGAGGTAAGGCGCTATTTGTCTCAACCCATCAATCTTCTCAGCTGAACACTAACAGTCCATGAAGACAGGACTACAACCAGAGACAGTACCCCAGAGGATGGCCGGAGCTGTTCCCCACACCGGCTCCAGTTCTGGAAAAAGCTGCTCCAGAGAGCTGGGACAGGGCCACAAAACCGTGACCTGCCGGCCGCTCCCTCTTCCGAAGAGATCCTGGGTTCTACCCTTTCCAAAAACCACGCAAACGTTCCGCGACCCTAAACCAAACCGCTCGCTTGTTACTACTGAAATTACCAGACTGCAACAGGCAACGCGGCTCAAGACGGGCTGCGGGAGAAGCCGGCGAGGTTTCAAACCTCAGGAGGAGCGAGCGGCTGCTCTCTAGAGGCCGGTCACGGGGCAGCCGCAACCCGCTACGAGGGACTCTCAGAAAAAACCCAAACCAAAACTCCCAAACCCCCAAACCCCTCGGTTTGCCCGCTATTTTTCCGAAGCGCGGCGTTTACTGACAGCTTCTCCCGCAAACCCAGCCCAGGCGGGAAACCGCTCCTCTGAGGAGAAAAGGGGTGGGGGAGGAGGCGGCGCGAGAGACGCCTCACGCAACCCCGCCTGCCGCGCGCGAGGGAAGGGCTTATCCACGCCCCGTCACCGGCCCTCCGCGCCGCAGCCAATCAGCGCCGGCGGCCAGCCAGTGAAGAGGGGCCGCGGAGGCCGCCGCTTCCGTATTCCAGAAGC